TATCTATTGTCCACCGTTTTGCCAAACACTCCTCCCCATTGATCCATATCTTCATGGCTCACATCTACTTATTGGTTCCACCTGTGCTCAATCCAATCATCTATAGTGTGAAGACCAAACAGATCCGCCAAGGAGTCCTCTACCTACTTCTCCACACAAAAATCAGTTCTACTATGATGTAGGTATATCCTTAAGACAATGATGACATCAGTCTAAATGATGTAAATACATACTGATTGTTTGCTCTAGGTATGTTGACATCAGAATTACCAGTGAAATACTGAAAGGCAGAAATAGAGCTAACAGAGTATCCTCAGAATGGTCCAAAGGAGAGAGTTGATGTCCACTGAGACCATACAGATTGACTTAACAAGTGCTTCATAAATTCCCTTTAAATATGAACATGTTGGCATTGAGTGTTTTAGAAATCATTTCCATCTTCTCCCTCCCATTTCTGATCCCAATCCTTTCAAGGTCATTTATCCATTAAGTTTGCCTTAAATATATTAAACCCATATTTCTTTGCTTCCTGATATTTATATTTTCCAGGTATTTAATATTACCTTTATTGTTATATCAATGTGTTTCTATATCTGCATGTCCACTTATCCTCTCTTTTTTAAAGATTGGAAAATTTTTTCTTGATTTAAGAGAATATTAAGGCTCAAAACAGAAATTATCAAGTTTCATGGTACATCAGCATCATCTTTTAAAAGTCTGTACACATGTTCCGCCTTTTCTGAGGAGATTTGTTTCCCTCAGGAATAGAAAATTGCCATCTGCATATTTTCCTTTTACTTAATTTTAATAAATATTTTTTAGAATAATTACTGAGACTCAGTAATTTTTGAAAGCCTCTAGATATTACCATATGAAGCCAGTGACTATAATCCATTGGATCAAATGTATCTTAATAATAATTTAGGGCTACGCTACTTATTCAAATGTAAAAAAATATGTATCCCTGATGAATTTGGCTATGAGGAATTTCATTCGTGTAACAATATAACTCATTGAGGTGTAGCTACTTATAAATTTGTGGTAGTAGGAGACAGTTACAGATTTAGGTCTCAATTTTATCTGTAACTCTTTTCAGTATACAAAACCATCTTTCCTTATAATTCTAAAATTATCTAGCACATAGCTGTGCATAGGGTGGTACAAAAAAACCTTGCAAATGTAACTGAATTTTCTTGGTTCATGGTCTACACTTGTTTAAAGGCAAAAAAATAAATTAAAAAATGAAGGGGGAAATGATACTTTTAAAATGCCTTATAATTCTCAATATTTGTAGAAGTCTTTTTTTAATGTTTATTTTTGAAAGAGAGAGTGAGAGAGAGAGAGAGAGAGAGAGAGAGAGAGAGAGGATGAGTGGGGGAGGGGCAGAGAGAAAGGGAGACAGAGAATCCAAAGTAGGCTCCAGGCTCTGAGCTGTCAGCACAGAGTCCTATGCAGGGCTTGAACCTGTGAACCATGAGATCATGACCTGAGTCTAAGTCAGAGACTTAACCAACTGAGCCACTCAGGTGGTTCAACTTCTACAAGTTGATTTCACTTGTGTCAAGTTCCCCTGCGTCAAGGTTGGCACTGCAATCAGCTGTTTATTCCCCGAATGGTTTAGCACAGATTCCCATGTTCTTTATGCAATTTACAGAGGAGAATAAGAGAAAGAGATGATGTTGACTGCTATTGGCTTGCCTAACTTTCAGTTAAAATTCATGGGCAACTCCAATACTGTTCTATAATTTGATCATTCCTGGTACTATATATAAACTAATACCAAGACAACAGCTTCCAGTGGTCAAGTAATAACTGTTCATGTTTAGGTATATACCACCTGAATTAGAAGAGGAGTAAATAAAACTGTCATTACTAACCATGATTTTGGGTGGAGATTATATATAATAAGATTAAGGAAGTATACACATTATTAGTTAAAAGGAGTCTACATGTATATGCTTACCTGAGAGAAAAACAAAAGTGAATTCATTGAATGTTGATGATCCAGAGAAGTGAGACAACTTATTGCAATGGTAAGAGAATACCAATAAGCTAAGAACATTCCTTTAGTGAAGATACATAATAATGATGCTACTTAGTGGTTAGAGATGTAAATCAATGCAGTTTGTCTTCATATGTATTCTTATTTTTACATTAATTATATTTGTGCCTTCAGGTACTCCTGAACTCTGAAATTACATACCCTCATACATAGTTAAAAGGGATATAGTAAGTCATGTATTTTAATTCACCAATGTGAAATTATCCTGAAATTCTTCTATTGACACCTATTAACTACCTCACCACCAGACTTGAGAAATTATTAATTATCAGTCAGAAACCACCGGATAATATAAAACTAAGCCACATTTTCCACTGAAGAACATTCAAGGTAGAGTTCAATAATATGATCTTCATTTAGAATTTTCCTACAGGTCAAATACAGGTCTCAGCCTCACCTTTGCCATTGATCTCAGAGTCGTGTCTAAGCACAAATGTCCCAGTTGCTCCAAAAGAAAATAAACTGCTTTTCTCTATTGCCCAAAAGATTCATGTAATTTTTCCTTATTTAGACCATGGCCTTCATTTTTTTTGTCTACTTTGTGGTTTATATCTCAAATAATATATGACCATATATTTATTTCTTTATTCTTCTGATACATATTTTGTAGATCATGTGTATGCTGTATTTCTTGTTAGTATGAATACTCAGTGAAAGATACAAGTTTTGTGTCTTAATGAAAGAAATATTCAGATACTCTACACACACACACACACACACACACACACACACACACACACAATTGTTTCCCAGGTAAGATAAAGGTGTTTAGTTTCAAAAATAAAGAGTTCTGGAATTATATGACAGATGAAAATGGTAAATGAGAAACTAAAAATAACAATGGTAGGAAACGTTCATTGGCTTTCCAGAGTGTCTAAATGGAATATCTACAGCTGAAAATAGGTTGTTTACAGGCACAGGTGAGGCAATAGTTAAATTTACAAGGTCCTACTTTACCATACAACCACTTAGAAATACTATGAAATTCCCATTTATGTCCAGATATCTTTGTGGTTTTTTAATGTTCTTTTATTTATTTTTGAGAGAGAGAGACAGAGAGTGAGCAGGGGAGGGACAGAGAGAGAGGGAAACACAGAATCTGAAACAGGCTGTCAGCACAGAGCCCAATGCAGGGCTCAAATTCACAAACCACAAGATCATGACCTGAGCTGGAGTCTAACGCTTCACTGACTGAGCCACCCAGGTGCCCCTGTCTGGAAATCTTTGTAAACATAATTTTGTAGAAATTTGTTTGTTTGTTTTTCTTCAGTAGGTATAGGAAAGCCATAGAAATCAGCAAACCTTGAGAGAGAGGAATATATAAGGCCCTATCGCCTCTAAGAAGTTGATGTCCTGACTCATGAAATATTTCCGTCTTATTCTTGGCAGGATATGCTGCAAATGCAACCAACTGGAAACACTGTTATTTCTCTCTTTTTTTGTCAGTATTTTAATAACTCCTTGGAGGCAAAAACAATTTAAAGTTGGTGCTGTTCAAATAAAATTAACTGTCCTCTATCAAATATTCTCAGCAGCACACACACTCTCCAAAAGCTACTGAGAGTCAATAGCCTACTTTTATATAAGCTTAGTTACATAATTTCACAAATCAGCAGAATACTCAGTAACAAATAAAAAATATGAGACAAAGAGTAGTACCTGGCATGCCAAAACACCAGTTCATGTCAGGTTTTCAGTCTGTGCTATAGTTTTTAGTTTACTTTTCTAGATGTTACATGTGTGCCTGCAGATATCAAAGAAGTTGGGCCTGTGCGTGGTAAAATAGATTAATACATTTGTAAAGTCATATCTAAAGATCTCTCACAAGTGAAAGCTGACAAAATTAAATATAATTTCAAAGATGGATAGTAAAAAATCATGGAAGAGACATTTGTGGGAGGTGTCATCAGAAGTTAAATTGCAGACTACATGGAGTCAGATGATAGCATGGCCTCTACTGGATGCCTTATGTTTTGCATCTTACATCTTCCAACTAATCCACTGACTTCCATGGATATTGGAGCTTTCTGACAATATAGATGATTGAGAAGTCACTCTTTATTTGTACGATTATTTATCATCTATCTATGTCGAGTTACTTGAGGGAAATGAAAAGTCATAGTATATTGATACTATCTTCAAAAATTCCAGAAGAGTGAGAGAAAAATATGTACATGGGAATTGTGAACATATGAATGTTTCTCAGTGATATATATTTCATTTTCTCAAGTTAGAAATTAATTTCATAAGGATTATTCTAGAAATAATAAGTGACTCTAAAGTACTTCAGCTATAATTTCAGTAGATTACCTAGAATACGGGTACGTATCTCTCGGGTTTTAGCACAGTATACAACAGGGTTGAGAACAGGAGGAATCAATAGGTATAGATAACCCATGATAATGTGCACCATAGATGGAACATGTTTCCCAAAGCGATGGATAATGGATACACCCAGCATAGGGACATAAACCAGAAGCACAGCACAGATGTGGGAGACACAAGTGTTAAGGGCCTTAAATTGTTGTTCCCGGGAGGCGATGCCTAGCACAGTAATCAGGATCTTCAAATAAGAGAGGAGAATGAGTACAGAGTCCACACCAAAGGTGATGAGAATGATGATGAGGCCATAGATGCTATTTATTCGGTGGTCAGAACAAGAGAGCTTGATTATATCTGGGTGCAGGCAGTATGAGTGGGAGAGCACATTAGCCTTACAAAACCTCAGTCGTTTGATGAGAAAGGGTCCTGGGAAGATGACAGCCACAGCCCGTAGCAGAAGCCCCACACCTATCTTGACAATGGTAGAATCAGTCAAAACAGTAGTGTACCTGAGTGGGTTGGAGATGGCCACATAGCGGTCAAAAGCCATGGTGAGGAGGATGCCTGACTCCATTAAGGAAAACACATGGATAAAGAACATCTGGATGAGGCAGGCATCAAAGTCTATTTCCCGAACATTAAACCAGAAAAGCTTGAGCAGGGTGGGCAGGGTGGTAGCACAGATTCCAAGGTCACTAGCAGCCAGCATGGAGAGAAAAAAGTACATGGGTGTATGAAGTGACCGTTCCACTTTAATAACCACTAAGACGGTGATGTTACCCATTAGGGCAATCAGGT